GTCTTTTTGGCGTAATTTTCTTGTTGCAAAATCAATCCAGTTTCTTTTAGGTTATACAGTACGCAGCTCAAGGCAGGTATGAAGTTGCCGTTCCACTTTGCAAGCAAGCTTTGGAAGATTTAGAAAATACAAGTGGTCATGAACATGCAGATGTAGCCACAATGTTGAATATTCTCGCCTTGGTTTACAGGTATGGGAACTATATTATGTTTTTGACACATCTTTCGGGATTGGCATATACACTTGAGCTCAGCAATAATGTGTTGAGCTTCACTGAGTCTTTATTTCCTTACAATGCTATCATTTTAATTATGACAACATTTTTTAAAGGTTTATTGACACTATTTATGGCATTGTTATAAAATTATCGCTGGATTATAGAATTTTTTCTGGTGTTGATTTGATGGCGCGATACTCGATAATTTTTTTAGAGATCAAAACAAGTATAAGGAAGCTGCGAATTTGTTGAATCAGGCCCTACAGATTCGAGAAAAATGTCTTGGTGAAAACCATCCTGCTGTAGCTGCTACGTTGAACAATCTTGCTGTTCTCTATGGGAAGCGTGGAAAATACAAAGATGCAGAACCATTATGCAAACGCGCACTAGAAATACGTGAAAAAGTAGTTTTATGATTCCATAATTGTTCGTACTCTATAAGATGTGATGTTTAGGGATATTTGAGTTTTTTTATTTTTTATTTTATTTTTATTTATATTCATTTATTTTTTTGAGAGCTTATGTTAAAGTTGATCCGGACTTTTTGTTTAGTTTATTGAGTCAGGTTTCAAAACTCTTGTGGAGCTTTAAGTAATGCGAAAGCGCACCATTTTTATTGTATTATAGCGTTACTCATTTTTTCGTGCGCAAGTTTAATATGAAAAATGCGTGTTTATTTTATTGAAGTACATTTCTGCTAGACTCTTTAATTATGTCGCAAGTATCTGTTGTTGTTGAGAATTACAGGATCTTTTTTTTAAAACCTTATTTGGTTAAAGGTGTTGGGAGTCGACCATCCTGATGTTGCAAAACAGCTAAATAACCTCGCTTTATTGTGCCAAAATCAGGGGAAGTATGACGAAGTAGAGCGATACTATAGGCGAGCTTTGGAAATTTATGAAACAAAACTTGGACCTGATGATCCGAATGTTGCTAAAACTAAAAACAACTTATCATCTGCATATCTTAAACAAGGGAAATATAAGGTAAGGCAGTTATACTGCGAATTTGTGTAAGCCAATTGGAAGTAAACGAAGTTGTAATGAATTTTTTTCTGATCGCTAGTAACATTATAAAATACATACTGTAAACGACTGTAAAGTCGTCCCACACCTAGTTTTACTTTACTCGCAAGATTAAAAAAGAATAATTTATAAAAAAACTGCGTGTTTACTGAACTAGACCTTACTAAAGCGAGAATTAAATCACATTTTTGCTTATTACTTCTGTGTTTTACGAACTGTAGTTTTTGACATTATGGAATAAATTCAGGAAGTTTTTCTTTTTATTTTTGAGACCTTCTATTAGAAGAAGCTTAAGTTGTATAGAAGCGATGACAAAAATAAACTAGTGAAGTTAAGCTAAAAAGTTTTTTTAAAGACTTACTTTTTGATAAGAATGTTCCATGTAAGGTATGCGAAAGCTGCATGAAAAGCACTTTTTTCCTAATCGAAAGTTTCATGACGGACTAGAAGTACGTTGCAGAAGGCTCCATCTTTTTTTTTCTGAAGTTCCGGCTACTTTTGTGAGAGGCATAATCAAATTTTGCTTCTTGAACTGATCGTGGTCGGGGTTTGGAAACGTTACTCGTACTTTGGGGGTCTTCCGTATTACTGAACTGAGACTTCATGAATTGTAAAATCAGATGTTGTTGCAGAAAGTATGGGGGATTTGCTTTTTTTCGGGATTTGCTTTCTTAGAAGTAACGGTCAAAAGTTATTTTATTTATGTTTCAATTGTAACTGAAGACATAGATATTAGTATTTTTGTTTGGTAGAGGAAATATTTTCAACTGACGGATCGGTTTTGAACCTGTGTAGGATACAGGGAAAGCAGAACCAAGCATTTTTGGCTATTTCTGTACATCTTTGTAGAGCTTATTTTTTCACCATGTAATGGCTTGTCCTATAAAGATTTAAACTTGCAATTGAGCTACTGATGCCTTGTTCTCTGTAAGCTAATTATTCTTCGAAAAGCCTTGTGGTTGAAGCTTCAAAAGTGTGAAATTTGAAATAAGATTTCTTAAATACTGAGGTGATATGTGTGAACTTTGTGAGTGGCTTTTTTTTGTTTTGATTTTTTAATTTGACAATGAGGTCCAAATTCTATGCTCGAAAACTGTCGTTGCAGTCCAAATTGTTAGTAGTTTTTTCTAATTTTTTGTTAATTTACTTGTTGATTGAAAGTGGTAGCAGAAGTTTCTTAGATGAAGTGAAGGGTTTTAAAGTTCAGTTAATGGCTATGGAATGAAAGGAAGAACATTCGCAAGAAAAGTTTACTGTTGTGAATGGTTCCGGGAAAATAGAGTTGGGAAAGAATCAAATTTTAAATTTTTATGGTATTTTTTTAGAGGTAACAATTAGTCGGATGGGGACTGGAACTGAGCATTTGGGTCATATGACCTCATTAAATCCAAGAATATCACATACCGTCAGTCTGCTGAAAAAGGTATAAAGGTGAATAATTAGCATACAGAGAACATGGCATTAGTGTCAATAACAAAGTAGTGGACTTACACTACTCAAGTTTTAGAGCTGAGGCAACAGGTTTGCATCCTAAGCAGAAATCAGTTGGAACTTAGCTAAGTGAATGTCTTCTAGAATTTAGTAGGATGATTGCTTTATTGCCGAGAAAAGCCTTTAGACTGTGGCCTATATTTCCTAATTTTTTTACTCACATATTGTAAGATTTTTGAAGAGGCCAGTTCGCATAAAAATCTATGGCGAAAAAGCTTAATTTAGGTAGTATGAGGTTGCTGGGATCTATAGCTGGTTTGGAGATAGAATACTTGTACAGTTTCTAAAAGTAAGAAAAGGTGCAAAGTTCTATTTTTTGTAGCGTCTTTTTTTTTTTTTTTTTGAGGGGGTAGTACGGTTTTAGTGAAATTATCATGAAAAAGTGCTGATGAACAATGATGTTGCTCAAGTACTGCATTTACGTAACTTTTTAGTTGTGGAGTACTGTTTCATAGACAGTTTCGGTTACATATTGAGACTTTCCTTCCAGTTATTAAATTTTTTAAATGCTCCTTTTAGTAAGATGTAGTGAGACTTATTTGCGGTCAGTCACCTGTATCAGTAATTGCAGCATCAGTCATTTCTGGTATTACTCCACATTATTTATGCGCCTTTAGGGGAATGTTATTCGTCATTGTAAGTACTTATTGAAATTTTTTGAATTCATCTGTTTTTAGGAGGCGGAAATCTTATACAAGCAGATATTGACACGAGCTCACGAACGTGAATTTGGCAAGATAGGAGAGGACAACAAACCAATATGGCAAATAGCTGAAGATCGTGAAGAAATTAAGCAGAAACGAGGTGATGCAGGGACATATCAAGAATATGGTGGTTGGCATAAGGCAGCCAAAGTGGATAGGTAAACAATTTGTCGATTTGAATCTTAACTTGGGGGCTTTCAATCAGGTTGCAATTTCTGGTTGGATTTTATACTTTAGTCCCACAGTTACAACGACTTTGAAAAACCTTGGTGCTTTATATCGACGACAAGGCAAGTATGAAGCAGCGGACACTTTGGAGGATGCAGCTCTTCGTGCTAAGAAACAGGTTACTTTGCTATTTCCTTTTTTTTTTCAAATTTCACATCACTTCTTATCACACTGTGTTACACCTTTATTTCTGACAACCTATTTAATATTTTCAATAAATACCATCTTCTCTTTCAATTTATTCGTCTATTTAGAACAAGTTTTTGCGGCTTTAATTTCACTTACTTGGTTTTTAAGATGTAGTGGTATTTGCTACAGATTTGTCGTTCGTAGTTTTTGTTGCTTTGAAAAGCCTTAATGCATTTGATTGCTAGGTAGAGAGGCTTTATTAGTATTATTGGGCTGGAAATGGTGAAATACCGTTCCAATCAGAAGGTTCATATCGGTTTTAAAAGTAGCGATAATTTTTCTGCAGTTATTAGTATCAACAGAAATATGTAGAGAGGAATTGTTATTTCAACGTAAAAAATTTTTTTATTGGTTTTTAGCAACGAATTAATTTCATTGTTTCGGATTTGAAAAAATAATGATTTTTCTTTAGCTTCTCCAAATTTGGATTTTTCACTTATACCCGTTACTTTTATTGCTACAGTCGTAAATTGACATACCAAAAACAAATCTTGACTCGTTTCTCATTTATAAAGTGGATTAAGGTGTATGCTGTTCGCACAGTTAGCAGATTGATACATTATTGCAAACTTTTTCTAGTCAATTAGAAAAAAAAAAACAAGTAAAGATGGATTTTTTCTATTAACTGGCTGCAATGGAGCGAAGCAGCATACGACAGTTTGAATGCCGATTTGACATTGAAGAGATCTTTCAGTCCCAAATGTATTGCTTGAGTTATTAGCAGTTTCACCTATCTACCTGCATGAAGCTTGTGTTTTGCGTTAGAATGTTAGCGACATCGCAGTTGTCTCGATGTTTGTCTGCTTTTCAGGGCTGCTTTGAACGTTTGGTTTTTCATTCTTGTTTGCAGCAACTTTAAAACTTCAGTTTATAATTTTACTCTTGTGTTTTTTGTTAGTAAAACTTAATGACTGTAATAACAACATTCAAAGTGTTTTATTTATGTTTTTAACTTATGGTGCCGCGATAGCACGTGTCACCCAACAACGGAGTGGCTTATCGCGTTGTAGGGTAACTGAGGTTGATTTACAAAGTAACCGCTTTTGTTTATTCTTCAGGTAGCACCGTCAGCGATTTAAAAAACACATTTAAGCATGAATTATCATAATTTACCTGTGTCATGCATACTGTAGCCAGTAACGTGCACGGTACCCTCTTAAGAAGGGCTTGCATACGGTAAATAGCTGTTGTATGTAAAATAATTTTTTGCCAATAAAACTTACATTTCGAAGTTGGATGAAGTGAATTCCTGGGAGCATAAATTTATTTTTTTTTTATTTTCTTACTTTATTTAGTTAAATTTATGTTTTGTATTAAAGTCTTCTATTCTTTCCGAAACCGTCGTTCTTTTTTCAAGTAGAATTGCTGCTATAATTCTTTGCTTCCTTCTTCCCAACGCTGTTTTTTTTTTTTTTTTTTTTTGTCTTCTACACTTGCTTCCACCTTGAAATTGTACATTTTCAAGGTTTTTTGGAAGCGGTGTAAAACGGCACTTAGTTCACTTACCACTCAGAGTTCATTTTTTTTCTGTCTTGAACCTTTAGTGCTTGTGGTCGAGCTCTAAGAACTCCTACGTCAAATATTTGGAGGGTTATCTTGGGCTTTCTTTCGACTCTTGTTAAGTCTGCTTCTTTTTTTTGCTATTAGTGTTCACAGCATCTGCTGCCTATATTTAAGGGACATTGTTTTATGCAGTTGTGCAGAATTTTTTGTAGTCAGCTAACTTCTGAGAAGCCTGGGCATTTTTTTTATTATTTTGCCATGGAAGTGTAATTATTTCTATTCAGCATAACAGTTGGCATGCATTTTAGGCTGCTTCATGGCGCTGAAATAGTTTTATTTTATATCTGGCCTTTTTGAAGGGATTGGGTCCTGGACCAGGTCTAAATGTCTTTTGACTGAATTTTCTTAAATTACGGTGGGGGAGTTTGGGTTTAATCGCAAGCTGCATTTTAGTATGAAGAACTTTATTTGTGTTTGCATGTTTTTTTGGGTATGATTTTAGGGTTTTGAAAATTTGCTTCTGAAACTTCAGCTTCTTATTTTTTATTCTCGAATATCGTTTCATAATCTATGTTCACTTTGTGTTTTTTTTGTTTTTACTGATTTTTTTGGGGTCAGGTCCACTTGTTTTTTTGTATTTTTTTATTGTATGCTTTTGCTCACATTATTCCAATCGTCTTTGTGCATCTACTTCTTAACAAAATTTAGTAATAAAACTTAAATGAAACTGGTTTTTCTTATCCACTGACTATTAATTTCTTTATTCCTTCCTGGACTGAGGTGCTCTGGTTGGGTTTTTGATTACTCAAAGGGCTCCCACCGCTGATATATTCTTCTACAGCTTTCTTTTTTTCCTTAATAATTTTAGAAGTAATTTTTTTATCTTTTGTTTTTGAATGCTGTTGTGTTATGGTAGTCTCTTTTTTTCTAGTCTACATTGTCTCTGGTTTAAAGTTATTTTCTTAATAAAATGAGCAAATAATTGTTACAAGTTTCTTTCAAATATCCCCGTATGTACACTGTGCACATACTGCATGAAAAAATTATTGGAACATGCATTTACAACTCCTTGCCTCTATTACTGCTTTTAAAATGTTATGGTGTTTGGTTGTTTGATGCTTTCTTATTTTTCTTCCATTCAAGGCATTTTTACAGCACGAAATGCCATTAACGAACAGTGGTAACCCAGAGGAATCGTTAACCCAACAGCCCTCACGAATGACGACTTCGCAGTCGGCCTCGGGCTTGAAATCCCGTTTATTTACCGCTCTTGGGATTCAACAGCAATCTTCCCAATAATGATTATTCCGTCTTCCTTCACTGCATAACCATCGGTTCGTATTTTTTCTCAGCTTATCCTTTTTTCTTTGTTTCTTCTTTTTTTTTTATTTTTTATTTTTTGGTGTAATGTGATAGTTTACATATTGTGAAGTCTTCACTTCATTCACATTTATTACCGTATATTTAACGCACTGGTCTGTAAAGAGCACCATCTTTTGTTATTTTTCATACCAATTTGATCCCCTGTTAATTTATTCCCCTTTGTTGCTGGAATTTTGAAGTTTTCTTGAAGAGTCGACTTTTAAGTGCTGTTATTTGGAACGGTTTCTTCATTTAAGACAGGTTCGAATATATATATAGTATTTAGAGAGGTATAATACGAAGAATTTTTTTCTAACATTTATGATTTGTTATGGTACTAAGCAAAGTTCTAAACTGTTATCATTGTTCTTTTATTCAATGAAATACTTGGCATGTTGTTTATACCCAGTTTAGTAGCATGGCTGCATGTTTTCCCCTTACCGCCAATGTTTAATCGTATTGCTAGGTTAGAAAATCGTATCATGTCGACGGATTTAGGCGGTATAGTCATTTTTTTTCTGTGGTACATGTATAGTCATTATTTGCTCATTTATTATATGTTCTGCTTTTTTATGTTTTTTGACATGATTTTTCGTCACCAGCTTGTGTTTGTGCTTATGAATGAGCTTATTTTTATGTTTTTTGGCACCTTTTGTATTTTAGTGGTTTCACCTGTAAGATTACCTGATTCAATTTTAAATTTCTTTTGGAAACAATAAAATTTTTTATTCATTTGTTGCGAGCATTAGTGTTCAAAAATTAAAAAATATTCACGACGATTATTAATTTTTTATTTTTAGTGCTTTTCAATCTTTTTTAACACCTGATTTTACTGCTCTTTTATCAATGAGATTTTCAGTAAACTATCTAGTTAACTATTTCCTTTCTGATTTTAATAGTGCTTTTTTTAGGGTTGGCTGTGTAGCATATTGATATTAGTGCTGAGACTAGAAAAGCCGTGGAGTAGTAAAGAGTATAGTTGCTTATAGTTTAGCACAAAAGGATAAAAATATTTTTTTGGGAATGCGAGAGGAGTTTTACTTTTCTTTTCAAAAAGTTTCATCTTCAACATACTGGGGTTGTTAATATCTTTAAACTTCAAAGATTTCTGTAGCTCCTTGTTCGTCTGTAACTGCATGAGAGTTTCAAAATTCTTTTTTAGTTGAAAAGTTTCAGTTTTTCACGATTCTGTAATTCCAGATCGCTTTACTGCTGTTCGGATTTTCTCCTTTTTCAGTTATTTGTAGGAATTCATAAATGTATTACCGAAATGTAGTGTAAATAATAGGGTAAGTAAGAAGAACCAAGAAATTCCTGCATTCATTTTGGGCAGACTTCAACGTCTTTTTAAGTCATATCTGGACTTGGAAATTTTTTCAGCTTGAAGAAGTGTCTAAAGTGGAAATTATTGGATGACAAGCAGAAAATGCTTTTCTGACAAAAGCAGATACAGTTGGGTTAAAGACAGCCGTAAGGTCTCTGCTGTATGTTGGCAACAACCTTGTTTTCTCGAGAAAAACTAAGGCAAATCTTCGGTTTCTTGGTATCAAAAAAACTGGCTAGGTTTGTCTTGGAAGATGCTGCAGCTTTCTCCTGGCGGGTTTTTTTGGTTTTTCACCGGATTCGTTGACGTATTGATGCCATCAATGTCATTTGGCAGTCGGCTTGATTCAGCATTTCAGATTGAACCTCTGGTTTTAACCCGTACGAAATAACTTTCTGAATTTAGTAGAGCTTGAAGCATGGCTTTAGGCTTTCTTTTTCATAATTCAAGTGTTTCGTTCGGGTAAATTTGGGAAAGATTTGGGAAAAAACTTATTATCATTGAAGAAGCATCAGCATATGATCATGGCTTTACCACAATTTTTTCCGGAGAACTAAATTTTAGCTAGTGAATTGACATTAACAGAGAGAATTAAAAAAATGAATTAGAAGTCGAACATACAATGCGAAAAGATTGCTTGGTTAACTACATTGACGATGTAATGTTCTGATTATTAAATTCTGTGACAAATGAGTTTCTTTTTTATTTTCAACTATGGGGGTCGAGGAGTTAAATGGAATGACGATTGGAGTTGGGTGGAATAACGATTGCTGAGGACTTTAGGGCTGTATTTAAACCAGAAGGGACAGAAAAAGTTTAAGTCGGATCAGTCCAATTACTGGCTTTGCACAGAATTTCTTCATCATATGATGGCAATCTACTCCTGGAAAAACATTGAATTTTAGTTGAAATATCGAAGTTTTAGTAGTCTTGTGTCTGACAAGAAGGTTTATCTTAGATATTTTTTGATTTTCTTTACTGTCATTTTCCAGCAATTGCTTGCATTTTGGTGCTTTAGAAAGGTTAAAAATATGTAGCGTAGCAAAAGTGAAACTGTAATTGTAATTTTGTTTATCGAAGAGTTTCGCACCATCTCGTCTCCTCAGTAAAATTAGTCATTGAAGAACTTTGGGACCTTTACTAGGTTTACAAATGATTTGAAGTAAATTCATATTAGTTGCAAAATAAAATGAGTTTGGTTTTGATTAATATCTAAGGTTGATAACAAAAAACTTCTAGACGGCTTGTTAGAACAGTTGTACAAAGTAAGAAAATTTAACCTTCTGTCTTTGTGGTTGTTGTGCGGTTTTTTAACGCTTTTTATTGGCATTGTTTGAACAGATTTTGAAAAAGCAAGTGTTTTTTCAAAGAAAAAGTATGTCATGGTTAAACACCGATTGAAAGGAGTGCTGTTGTTCATTTAAGTCAGGAACATTTGCTGATTGAATATAGTAGCTATCTGAGTCGAAATTTAGTCGTTCTTTTGAAATATTTGTCGATTAGTTTGTCATACCTTATTAAATTTGGATGGTCAGAACTGGTGAAATTTAGAAGAAACGATTGAACTTTCTGTTATGTTTTGATGGAGAAAGCATGATTCATGAGTGTATTGGGTTTTTTTGCTGTGGTTGTAATGCATGTTTTTGAGCATTATTCATTATGCTGGGCTTCATTTGCTGATACTTTTTCAAGCTTTTAACTTGCCGACACAGTGTGTTTTGTCAAGTGTCTACAACTGTAGAAGCTTAATTAGTCGAAG